GAGCGCTGGACTCAGGGAAACTTTGAAACACTTTGTATCCATATTTTTGATAATATAAGCTGTGAAACTCGGTTCTCATCTTCTCTACCTATTATCAGACTACTGTTCGTTGTGTGTGGGAGAACGATGCATGGCATGTACACACTTGCGTGAGATGGTCTCCAGGACCCATGCACTGTAGTTGTAGGCTAGGCTGTAGAGTAGATAGGGCGCCTGGCGCCATTCACAAGAGAGAGCTACATTGGGTTATGCTGTTGTTGTTGCCCTGTTGGGCATGGACATTGACTCACGATTCTTCTGTATCATTCTCAATTGGATGGTTACTCAGTTCCATTGTGCTATCTGCTTTGGCTTTGACTACTTGGACTTCAGCGTGATATTGCATTCTGGATTTCTCTGCTTCGTCCATATTCATGTTCCTTGCATAGGGTTCTTGCAGGCCAGATTCAGTCATGATGAGGGTCGCGATTTCTCAAAACGTTCTCTTCTTATTACTTCGGAAGTAGAAAACGACGAAAATGACAGCCGTTTTTCCTGGAATGTTTTTTTATATTTTATTTTTTAAAGGAAGAAAATCAGAATTTCTTTGCACGAGTGTCGCCCGGCACGTCCAACCTGTTAGAACCTCAACGGTAATTGCAGTCTGTTCTTGCAGGCCAGATTCAGTCATGATGAGGGTCACGATTTCTCAAAACGTTCTCTTCTTATTACTTCAGAAGTAGAAAACGACGGAACTGACAGCCGTTTTTCCTGGAATGTTTTTTTTTTTCTTTTTTTTTAAAGGAAGAAAATCAGAATTTCTTTGCACGAGTGTCGCCCGGCACGTCCATCCTGTCAGAACATCAGCGGTAATTGCAGTCTGTATGGTAGGGTTCTTGCAGGCCAGATTCAGTCATGATGAGGGTCGCGATCTCTCAAAACGTTCTCTTCGTTCTCTTCGTATTACTTCTGAAGTAGAAAACGACGGAACTGGCAGCCGTTTTTCCTGGATTTTTTTTATTTAAATAAAAGGAAAGAAACGTAAAGGAAGAACAGCTCTTTGCACGAGTGAAGCCCAGCGCGTCCAACCTGTCAGAACCTCAACGGTAATGTTTACCAACGGGCTCGCTGCAGTACTCTCGACATGCACAACAAGACATATATGGCAATGTATCTTTCCATGTTCAAGCGGAGGATTCAGTCTCATTTGTTCAGAGATTCTCCAAAAAAAAAAAAGAAAGGTTCCAGAGATACGTTACTTGCTTACCTGATTCATCGGCCCTTCGCTCTCCACCACCCAATGTATGAATGAATCTTCTGCCAGAACATGGAAAGATACACTGCCATATTTTTGGTCCTTTGTGCATGTCGCCCCGCTTCCGGATTCATGTTGCCCGTTGATAAGGGCGGTTTCTTCAGTCCGATAGTGTCAGCACACTGTTCTTCTCTCTCTCACACGGTTTCTTCTCTCTCTCTCTCTCTCTCTCTCTCTCTCTCTCT